TTTGCACAAACTGATGATTCGATGTTGGAAAGTGATGGGCCTGTTAGTAATGGGCCAAAGCCCACTCACATGAAGTGCGCAGGGTGTGTGAGGTGCATGAGAAAGTGGTCTGTTGTGGGTTGGGTATACATGGGGAGTGAGGTTCAGGGAGGGTTTAGCCATTAGTGAGATGTGTGTGGAGAGCCTCTAGTCTCTCGTATACCAGAAGAACGTGTTCTCTGTGTGCTTGTATTTTTACTGCTTATCTTCAGTATTTGAATATCATTTGTGGCTTCGGTCCATTAGAAAGCTAGAAGTGGCTTGGACTGGAGCTTTCAAACAATTAGACTTCGCCATACAACATATGGTGATATCCAAAAAGTGAAAAATGCTGCTAGAAGGGTAACAATAAGAAAGAGTAATTTGTTCTAAAGATTTAAATTTGACGTTCCTTGAGAGGGAAATGCACATTAATTAAATCAGCAGGCGGAAGAAAGTAAAATAGTCACACACACACTCTTTTTGTTGGGTGAAAATACTTACTTGAAACATATAAAATCAACCTGTTCAATGTTTTAAGCATTATATGTAAGATAATTCTAATGACATTTTACTCTTTGACCAATGCATATGATGATGGCGAGGTCCTCATTCTTCCAGATTGAACCTAAGGCACTTTTTCATATTTATCCCTTCTCAAATGAATGATCACTCTGTTACAGTGTCACAATGTGTTGGTAGCGGCAAGAACATAATTAGATACAGCGTGTCATAGCATGTACAAATACCAAATTAGCGTAATGAGAACTCAGAACTCGGTCTTTGTAAAAAGATGCCACAATCATGAACATCATTGTGGCATAAATTTCTCATCTTTAACAATTTTCCCATTACCATTCAACATTCCCATTAACCAAAACAAAACAACATTCAAGCATTGTTCCACTCCTTCAAAGTATTCACATTAATAATATTACTACTTTACATTGATCAAACCCAATGACTACAATGTATATATAATTTGTATGCCGATATCTGAAATGGGAACTACAATGGTTGTCTTGACTTAAGAATAATTATCAAGTTGATACACTAGCCCAATATGCTCAGTTTCCTAAGAATCTTTTACATTAAAAAAACACCAACAGAAAGCTAAGGCTAGAAAACAATGTCTTGGAAACTTTTCATTCACCATCATGGGACAATTATAGAAAGTGTGGGCAGGGAGAAGATAAAAGAGGTTCAACAGTAACAAGCATAGTAGCGTACCTTTAATATATTGACAAGGTGTGTGCTTGTATTATCTTGCAAACGATCAGAACGATGGAGGCTTGCAGGATCAAGCCCACATAAGGCCAATTTATCTGGATGCTCCAGACACTAAAATATATATTGCACGTTCTTTGGTTATTAGATGGCACAACCAAATAAAAACATAATCCAGTAGTAAATTATGTTAAAAAAACCTAGGATGGAAATAAGGTTAAGACTTGATTAACCTAACACAGAATAAAAGACAAGAGGGGAATATATATAACTTGCCTGCATACTTAAGTCCTGGCACGTCAGTAATATTTTTGCACCCTCCAGACCCTAAACAAATTAAATAATAGAATATTGCAAACAATCTTTTCCAAGCTAGGTCAATAGCCAAAATTAAAGGACAAGCCAAAAATGATAGGTTCAATTAGCTTATCCCATTATGAGGTTTTCTGCCCTATTCAAGGTACTTAAAAAATTACAAGTACTTAAAATTAAAAATTTGAGAACAGGCACCTGTTTAAGAATTAAGTCCCAGAAAAGGGGCCCAACAATGGCAGTCTCCCAGTTATGTATATGCAAAATATCAGGTTTCTTTCCACATTTTACTATATAGTCAAGTGAAGCACGAGAAAATAGGAAAACCTGATAGCACAAGATAACGTATCAAGATTAATTACAAACATATACAACATACCAAGTAAAAACATCTTGAATCAATTCACGAAAAAAGAACATCTTGATTTGGTCAAATTCCACTTTCTTGTCATCCTAACCAGAGAGTAAGTTGCTATTGCTGATCAAACTATCAGATTGTTAGAGTTTCCTTTTGACTTCTCTTTCTGTCTGAAGATAGTTCAGGAACACAATGCAGTCAAAAAGGATTCCAAACCAGCCTTAACTTCCCATTACATGTAATCAAGTACATGTTTGAATGCGTTTCTTCCCATTACCTTCTATTAGTTAAATCAAACTATTTTCTGCACTATGTCAATTTATTTTGTTATAATTTCAACAAATTAATATTTGCTATTAGTTATAATAGTGTTTTGAAAAGGATGAATAACGCCCATTCTGGAAGTGACGCAAAATTCAAGTTTCAGTTTGAATATTCTTCTGTTTCCGTCAAGTCACATAAGCTGAAGAATCACCTTTCAGATTCACGTGGTTAGCCAATACCATTTATCCTTGACATAAACCTTAACATAGAAATGATTCTGATGTGCCACAAGGGAAGATGAAAAGCTTATGGACCAGTTACCAGGGATGCAATCTCACTTGCCTTTCAAAATCATCAGTGTAGCCATATATCATTTCGCGGCTGAAAAGGGATAAGCACTGTAATGGCTCTATCAAAGTGACTCCAATGCCACGAACAACACTATCACATATTCAGGTAAGTATAAACCATTAGCAGATTTTAAACACGTGTAAGGTGACCTCTATCTCTGACTTCTTTCACAAGCTACTAACATCCAGTTGTATGAAAACTCATGATCATATTAAAAAAATGCCAAACTAACCCAGTCCAAGCTCTGTTTCCAAGTACTTGACCATTAAAATATGAATAAGCCTCAGCCTTAACTTCATGCAGCCCTTGCACTTCATCTAGATTCAAACAAGCATACCTGTGTGAAAGTTAATACAGTCAAGGTGAGGAATCAGAAACATCAGGTTGTAATCAGACTCATATTAGAGCAAATGACAAAAAAAAGCTTTTGAACAAAGAAAAAAATTTATCTAGAATATGCGCAAAATTTTCAGCAGGCATCTAAGAAATTTTAAAGAATCAAGGAACAAAAAAATGACTTCTCTTTTTTACTTCGGCAATATGACTTCCACCAGATGACCCTTCCTTTGCAGAGCACAAGATATGCCAGTCACGTATGATGCTATAGATCCTCTGGAGACTAATGGTGCCATTTCCGTGCAAATGTGAACAATATGAAAAGCATTCCTGAAGAAATTGACCAAACAAAAAATAACAATCAGATTCTAAGAATCTTTATGAAAAGGGAAAGTGGGGAAAAAATAAGAAAAGAATACCTATGGCCAAAACAAATTCTTGCAGTAGTAATTTTAAATTATTAAGACAACATAACTAATCATATGATACTTCAGAAGACTTTCCCAAATAAGCCACCAAATGATGGAAGAAAAATTCCCAAACATGTCTAGACATGAATTCAGTATCATATCATACTCTAGGCTTTATATAGTAGTCACATTCATTTGTTATGTTTTAAGGTTCAGATATTCTTGCTTGATGTTTCTCAGTGATTTGCATGAAAGGTATGCCAGTTTAACATGAAATGGATGGCAATTTTGCAATAAGCTTCAGCAAGTTTGACATATCAATATATACTTTATAATATCATTAGTTATGGGGATAACATTAAAGAATGAAGCTAGTAAACATTAGATTTACTTTCTGCTGCTGTCTGAGAATTGACGAAGTTCTTCCAAAAGCTCAGAGTCTCTTCTTCCAGGGATGTCAGTAAAAATATCAGCCACACTCAATTTGTGCTTTATCACCAACCTTCTCAATTCAGATGCCTCTCCAGGAGAAATCATGTTGGTTAAAACCATTGAATCAATCCGAAGCAGCAACTCCCAACAAATTGACAGGTTGTCTGTGTTGGCAAAACGTATAGTGCAACTAATCAACTAGTGAAAAAGTAAAGACTGCTTAACTAAGAAAAATACATTACTTATCTCATCAAATTGTTTGTAAATATGAACAATACAAAGGCTCTTGCAACCTACTTTATATATAATAGTTTATCAGCAATACATATACTGCATTTAAGATGGATGATATTGCATTATCAAAAGAGGAAAGACAAATGCAAGAGCATACACATGCCCCAACCATTCCCTCAAGCACACAAAATCAAGTTGTCCCTCAAGCACCGGATTATTTCTTTGCCAAACCAGATCCCTAGGGATGGCTGATATGGGTTTTTTGCCAGGTTGGGGTTTTGGAATTTGATCTCTCTGACCTATAGTTATGGAGAGATTTACTTTATTCAGGCCAGCTACTTGAGTATATGCTTTGGATTTTAAACTGAAAAACTAGCATACTTGTGAATGTTACTAATTCATCATTGTTCAATGGAACCAACTAATTGTAAAATTGCGAGATAGCATGAGTGTCAGCAAAATAGAAAATGTTAAAGAAACAAATAATATGTATCGGTCTATTCATCAATGATACATGACAAGGTAAAAGCACAGCCGCAAAATATCACCTTTTCCAGAACCAGCATGCTTTTCTGCTTCCAATTTCTCTAACATGTTGAGCAGCAACAGCTTTTCTGTGTTAGCTTTGTTAAGTTCCTCTGTGGCTGCAAGGCGTTGTTTGTTTAAGTACAGAATGTCTGTGTATACAAGAAAACTCATCAAAGTTACAAAACACTTCAATATAACGCACCAGTAACACAAAGGTGGATTCCCCACGCACACCCCCCACCCAAAAAAGGGGGGGAAGGAAGAATGGAAAGACACCGACAAGAATTATTAATGGAAAATCAAATTAAGCCTGGGAAAGAACTGACTTTGCTGAGCTTCTCTGAACAACTTCCAAATATGATGGTGTTTCGCATCCTGATCATCTTCAGTTAGCTAAAATATTGGGAGGAAATACGCAATGAGTAACTTGTTAAGTAAGGGAAGACGCAAGAGATGTGTAAACTACACCATATCGTAGGCAAGACCATATACCTGCATCTTAACCACGTTATTTGTGCCTTGAAAACTGAGATGCATGTCGATTAAAAATTAGAAGAGGACTAGTCCCAGTAGTATCGGCTAAAATATAAAACAAAAATGTTATATTATTGGATAAATGTTAAAGAAAGCAAACTCTTACCGTTGTTCACCTTGGCGATTGTCATCTCCATTACTTCTGAAAAATATTACATGAATAACAGGCCAAGTGAATTCACCCACTATCAATCCATTATTTCTATTTAATATACCTTCAATCAATGACAAGTTGAATTTCACCTAGTATCAATAATCAATGCAAAAATGATGACCTATGAGCCACACATATCAAGCTTCAAAATTGCATTATAACAAGTCAAGCTTTTAGTAAATAACAAGATATTTTAGATCAAAACCATCGCTCTGTCATGTACCAGTATGTTGCATTACGACCACACCACACTCAACTTTTCCCAGAAAAACACAACCAACACCAGTGCTTCTAACTTCAAATTCATATTGTTAAGGAGAGAAACAAACATGCTAAAATGAGATGGTTGTGAGCTTGAAGTCTGATTACTCAGCTTTCAAGCAACATTCGAAGGGTAGCACAATTCAAGGGTCTCACCTCAAACAACGTAGTGGCAGACCAGCAATGGGTTTTCGGAACGAGGTGCTGGTCCTTCTGGTTCTAGACGTTGGAATGCAACGAAGTGAAGGAACCCCGGTCCCTGCGTTTACCAATGTCCCCATTTCTTGTCTTCATACACAGAGATAGAGAGGAAAAGAACGAGGAAGCTGCACTGGTATGACTTTCCCGCTCGGGATCACTAGTCTCATGACGATATAGCTATGGCATCCATATCCACGATACCAGTATTAATTATTAATGGTAATATCTTCACAAAAAAAGAAAAATAAAAACAAATTGCCTTCATCACGGAAAAGGGACTGTATTCTGCACATGTAGCAGTAGCAGCAACGGGGCAAAATTCCAGGGCGAATTTCCATATTTTTCGGTAAAGATGAAAATTTTCTATACAGTAGCTTCGCTCCATGGCAAGCGCTTACTGGAGGTTTCTTCTGCAAGTTTAATGATTATCCGTCCATATCACCATTGACATGAGCCGTGGATTTTTGTTTTAGTGTCAACAACTCACTCACAGACTAGTTGAATTATATGTTTTCTTAGACTTTAAGTAAAAAAAAAATAGTGGAAATTAAAAGTGGAACGAGAAATGTGCGTGAAAGAATCATGGGATTCTCACCTGCTCAAGAAGAATGATAGAAATCAGAAGCTAATAAACATTGCGGACTTGAAGAATAACAACAATGGAATAACTATCATAAAATGGTAAGTTTAAAATTTAAATATTCTGCGCCAAAAATAAAATAAAATTCATAAAATAGTTTGAAGTAAAAATAAAAAATTGATTACGGTAAAAGATATCTGTAATTATAGTCATAATTCATATCCATATTAAAGAACATTTTTCCAAATAATTAAAAAGAGAAAGTAAAATATGACTTCATCTTTTCGAACAATGTGAAAAACACTTAATCTTGCTTGAATAACTTGAAGGTTCAAATTTTATGAATAAAAAAAATCATTAAAAAACACCTCCAATTTAATGTAATAACTAATAACGATGCTTGAATCTTTCACTAAATTACCAAATACTCGACACTTGTAGAAGGAAAAAAGTGGCTTTATTTTTTAGGTTAATTTACATGATCCTAAAAATTCATTTAGATTCAAAATTAATTCGATATGAAAATTGTAACTGGCATAGATTTTCCTGAAAGATAAGTTATTGAGGAAATTTAGTTCGTGTCGTTGTCCGTTTTCTTTTGTGGGCATGAATGCCGTTGATAAAAGGAAATGTTACCATTTGAACGTCATTCGCCTGTTTAAGTAAACACATTTCACCGGCAGTTTTGAATTTAGCCCATCATTTGCATTCGAACATTTATAACAAACTCAGCTTCATTCCACAACATTCTTTTTCTGTTAATCCTTCCAGGATGCCCAGTAATTTTAAGCCACAATTCGTCTGCCCACAGAACATGTGCTTATTGCATGATAATTATGGAAGAGTAGGAAGTCTGCCCACCCTTTAAAAGTAGTTACTCCTACAATCCTGACTAATACTATTGGGACCTTACTAGCAATGGTGAATTCTCGGCAGCTTCTGCATACAAATCAACCTAAGAACCCCTTTGGAAGTGAAGCACCACAGCCATGGAGTTTGATCTGGAAATGGCCTGGGGTGCCTAGAGTCAATACTTTCCTTTGGTTAGCTGAGAAGAACCGCCTGCTCACCAATGCTGAACGAGTTCGACAAGGCTTACCATCAAATGCCTCGTGAAGCTTGCAACAAAGCTGTTGAAGATGTGGACCACGTCCCGTATAGATGTAACACAGCCAGACTTTGTTGGATAATGCTAGTCCCACAGCATGCAGCCTCTACCTTCTTCAGCAAGCCTTTTGAGGAGTGGTTACATTGGAACCTCAACCCACGCATCATGAGGACTCATTGGAGACTCATCTTCAGTGTTGTGGCATGGAAACTTTGGACCAACATTAATAAGAGAATACTTACCGATGAAATCATCACTCCCCATTGTATTGTTAGATCAGCCTATGACTTAGTTTATTATAATGTTAAAGCCCATGGGTTCCTTCAATCTCTGGACCATGAGGCTTAACGTGTTTCTTTTATAAACTCTTGTTCCGCTTGTATATTTTGTCAATATAATTCCCTTTTCACTCAAAATAAATTAAAGGGTTTTACGGTAGAATTGGAAGATTGGAAAGGTAGCCAATGGTGTTGTAATCTAATGACATGTAAACTCTCATATAAGTAAGAGGTCATAGGTTTGATCTTGTTACTTCAAGCCATAAGTGCCTACCCCTCTAATTCAAAGAAGGAGAAGAAGGCTCTTATAAGTTGCCACAGTGATCATCTTTAATCATCCCCACCTTTAGGCTTAGACGTGGTGGATGATGAAAGTTAATCTTTGGATCCTTGCCTTATAAATTGTTTGGTTACCATTTGCTCTGAATGAAGTTTTCAGTCTTCAGTCAAAAAAATATCGCAACATGCATGCATCCCCTGCGCCTACACAGGGACGTCTTTCCCACCTAGATCAAAAGAATTATTAGAACAAGGGGAACGGATTTTTTTTCCCCCCGGGTAACAAGGGGCAACAGATTTCTACTCAATTGGAAGAATTGATTAAATACCATTCGAACGGGCATTAAGGAGGAATGTCTCTAATTATACGGATTACAAATGGGGAAGTCAAGGGAAGATATGGTGTTAATGATTGGCAAGCTTACGCTTCTTTAACTTGGCCATTCGACTTCTCCGTTCTCTTTCTTCCTCCTCCTCTATCAATCGGAGTTGCTCTTCATCCTCCCTCCTAGCAATTTTGGCACTGTGGATATCACCAAAAAGAAATATAGATCAACCACCAGAAAAATCCATGATTACCGAGGACAGCAAGCCAGAAATTAGAAATACAAAGGTGATCGATCAATAACTTTGCAAGGTTCTTTATATTATGGTCGCATTTGGTAGATGGCAAAGTGAATTTTTGTAGAAAAAGGTTTCCTATGTTATGAGAGAGCTTTTTCATTCCTATTTTATACCAAACACATGTTGCGGTAGGTCTTAAAGTGAGAGCAAATGGAGCAGTAAATATCAACTTAATGATTAAAGAAACATACCTCCTTCTTTCCTCCCTCATGATGTCATCAAAGCCTGCCTCCATATTCATATCATCCTCGTCATCATCAGCAAATTTGTTGGGGTTGTAGCTGCAAAATATTCAGCAAATTTATTAGAAAAAGTGACTAGATTTGCAGCAGAATGACCATCACCACACTGAAATTGAGAGCACTTCCAACCAGACATCAAACACCAGGAACACACCCTAGTAAAAATACTTTGATTACAATGACTCTCCTTTAAGGAAAAAACATGTAAAAAGATCAGTGAATGTAGACTGGAATTTTAAAGTTTCAGCTAAAGTCATCAGCAGACTAAAAGGTGAAAAAACGTCGGTTCAAAAAGAAAACAATGAATGAACGAAAGAACACAGCCCAACCCAGAAATCCTTTGACATCTACAAGTATGTTATCCATCACAACCAAGGGCTATCCACCAACTCCCAAATACTAATCACACAATCCACCAAGAAAGATCTGTAATAATTTGGTTCCATCCGGATTTATCAAAAACATTGCAAGGAAATCAAGGATAATAGCAAGTTGATTAAAAACTGGCAACACTTACTGAAACATTCTTCTGATCATGCTAATAGCCCTTTGACCCTCATCGTCGTCATCGTCATCAAAGGGCCGTCTTACAGGCTTCTTCTTGGGGCGTTGATCTTGGATTGGACGTTGTGTTGTAACCTGTGTAGGTGGCTTTGATTTCTGTCGGGGAAAAAAAATGTAAGAAAATATTGTCTTCAATAAGAAGCTAAAATTACATGTACATGAACAAGCACACAGCATCACAAACCTGAGGAATAGAAGGTGCCACCGGCTGTTTGGGCATCATTTTAGGCTTTTCCCTAGCATCTTTTCTTTGTTCCACACTCTGCTTTGAAATAGATGAATGAGTTTTTGAAACGGGTGGTTTCTGAACAGCATTTACATGGCCTTTTATACCAGTCACCAAAGACTTATTGCTCATGGTACCAACAGGTGTCTTTGGAGGCAAGCCTTTCAGTCCCACAGGCCGGCCAGGTCCATTCACACTGTTGTTTCCAAGCTGTTTTCTTGAATCTGCTGATGCCATACTAGGCTTACTGCAAGAAGCTAACTTATTACCGGACCCCACTTTAGGAAGTAATTGGCCACCTGCAGAACCTAGTTTTCTGTCCTCACGACCACCATTAACATGCTTGCCACCACTGCTTAAAGGCTGCTTATTCCTTCCTTGTACTTGAGCTGGCCGTGCATCTTCAAGATCAGCAAAAAACCTGTATAAGTTTTCTCAATCATAATAATATGTTTAGACCCCCAACAAACATCCCATATAAACATGATCCCAAGCAGCATTGTACCAGAACATCTGGGAGGCATATTCCTGGGTGGAGGCTCTTTTGAAGGAGCTGGAAGCTCTGCATCATCAGACAAAAGAAAGGAATAATCTCTTGTATCCTTAATTTTCTGTGCTTTAAGCTTCACCTGCATTACAGAGGAATTGACCACCATCACTTAGCTATCCTAGATGCTAGTTTATATTAGAGCAATTTCAAAATAATAGCTTCAATACCTCACTGACTTTGGGTAGCTGATTATGAACTGCAGATTTTGATCCCCCATTAGATACTTTGTTTTTGTTTTTGTTCTGTAGACAAAATCATAGTTAGAATACTGACGCACCACATAATATGAAGCAAGAAATATATTAAAAAACATTTAGGTTTTGCATATGTTACCATCAATAAAGTGCATCGTGATAGGCATGAGGTGACAAAACTTATGATAACAACAATTTGGAAATGATACAAGAAACTCTGCACTATATACACCTATTTTGCCTAGGTATACAGGTGATGACTTCCCATATTTAATAACATTTGGGGTATTTTTGGGAGTACCTGGGGAGCCAAAACTACAATTTCATGTGCTTGATTAATTTTCTAAAGAAAATAAATCATTGACATTTAGCGTATTGCTCGTAAAAAATTGAACAATTGCTGAAAATCATGGTTTAATTCATACATTTTTTTCACTAGTCTTTATGGTATTTGTGGGAAATAGTAAAGCGTCCAAAGCAAAAGGAAAGATGTCCAGGACAGAAAAAATAAGTTAAACTGTATTTGGTGCCAAGACCGTGTCTTGTGAAGCCACAAAGCCTGTGGCTAATTTTGTCCAGAGAAATGCTTTCTGGTGCCATGGCCACAGCATTGGCATTGCAGCTTAGCTGAAAATCCTAAAGGGAATTAGCATTGGCGCTGTAACAGTAGCACTTGTTCAATGGCTGCTGTTCTCCCTTCCCTTCCTCTTTCCCTAATCAATACCCACCCAAGGGACAACGTGCCATTTACCATGAGAACAAGATGGCCAACATACCACAGGGATCAATTCATGAATATGCCCAACAGAAATGAGTCACAATGCATAGAAGTAATTACAATAGATTGAAAGTTGAAGCAATCAAATAAATAACAACAACAACAACAACAAGCCTTTATCCCACTATGTGGGGTCGGCTACATGGATTGCAAGACGCCATTGTGCTCTATCATTTATCAAACTTTTAGAAATACTATTAATTAAGAGATCACGTTCAACAACTTCCAAGAGTGTTCTCTTAGGCCTTCCTCTACCTCTCTTAATCGGACTCAAAGTTATATGTTCCACTCTTCTCACTGGTGCCTCCCTTGGTCTTCTTTGTACATGCCCAAACCATCTCAACCGATTTTCTACCATTTTTTCCTCAATAGGTGCCACCCTCACTTTTTCACGTATGTGCTCATTTCGAATTTTATCTTTACGTGTATGTCCGCACATCCATCGTAACATTCTCATCTCTGCTACTCCAACTTTATGCTCTTGCTGTCCCGTTAGAGCCCAACATTCACTACTATATAACATTGCCGGTCTGATAGCAGTACGATAAAACTTTCCTTTAAGTTTATTAGGCACCTTACGGTCACAAATAACTCCTTTAGCTTTTCTCCAATTAAACCACCCAGCTTGAATTCTATGTGAAATATCTCCACTGATTTCGCCATCATTTTGAATAATGGCTCCCAAATATCTAAACTTTTTCACTTGAGGTATAATTTGATCTCCCAATTTCATTTCCAAATTATTTTCGAATAGTCCTTTACCAAATTTACAATATAAATATTCCGTCTTACTTCTACTCAGACGAAAACCTTTCGACTCCAATGTCCTCCTCCATAACTCAAGTTTGCAATTAACCTCTTCTCTTGTCTCTGCTATAAGAACTATATCATCCGCGAAGAGCATACATTTCGGGATTTCCTCTTGAATATGTTCCGTCAAAACATTTAAAATCAAGTTGAACAAATAAGGACTCAGAGATGATCCCTGATGTAGTCCAATCTTTATAGGAAAATCCTTTGTTTGACCACTAGGCGTTCTTATACTAGTTTTTACCCCCTCATACATATCTTGTATGGCTTTAATATAAGCAATCCGTACTCCCTTTTTTTCCAACGCTTTCTAAAGCACTTCTCTTGGTATACGGTCATAAGCTTTTTCCAAATCAATAAAAACCATGTGTAGATCTTTATCTTTACAACGATACTTTTCCATTAATCCCCTTAGTAGATAAATCGCCTCTGTAGTTGATCTACCTGGCATAAAATCAAATTGATTCTCAGAAATACTTGTCTCCAATTTCAACCTGTGCTCAATTACTTTCTCCCACAATTTTATTGTGTGGCTCATGAGTTTAATCCCTCTATAGTTAGTACAATTCTGAATATCTCCTTTATTTTTATAAATAGGAATTAATGTACTTCTCCTCCACTCATCAGGCATTTTCTTGGACCGTAAAATCACATTAAATAACTTAGTTAACCATCTCACCCCTTCTTCACCTAAACATTTCCATGCTTCGATAGATATACAATCAGGTCCGTTGGCTCTACCATTTGCCATTTTCTTAAGAGCTTCCTTTACCTCCTTATCACGTATTTTTCGATAGAATGACAAATTTTGTTCTCCTTCACCAGTTACTAAATCCTCCAAGTTACTAGATGAATCCTCTCCATCATTGAAAAGTTTAGAAAAATAAGTCTCCCATCTATTTTTAATTTCATCATCTGTAACTAAAATTCTTCCCTCTTCATCCTTAATACACCTTACCTGTTCTAGATCTCTTGATTTTCTTTCCCTACTCTTGGCAATCTTATAAATATTTTGCTCTCCTTCCTTCGTCTCAAGGTTCTTATAAAATTCTTCAAAAGCTTTAGAACGAGCTTCACCCACAGCTCTCTTAGTTTCCTTCTTAGCCATACGGTACCTCTCCCAATTTTCCTCATTGTTACACAAATGTATGGCTTTAAAACAGTTCTTCTTATACTTGATTTTGTCCTGTACACTATTATTCCACCACCAAGACTCCTTATCTCTCAGACCAAAAACCTTTCGATTCTCCCAAAACTACGTTTGCAACCTCCCGTATCTTTTTAGCCATATCCTCCCATATGATGTTAGCACTTCCCTGAGAATCTCAAATTCCGTTATCCAAAAGATTTCGCTTGAAAATATCTTGCTTCTCACCTTTTAATTGCCACCACCTAATCCTGGTGTTACTACTTGTCGACGTTTTTAGATTTTATCATAATACAAATAAGGACTAGGACCTATGTTGTGTCATAAGCATCTCCGAGGACAACTACATTACAACAACAACAACAACAAGCCTTTATCCCACTAGGTGGGGTCGGCTACATGGATTGCAAGACGCCATTGTGCTCTATCATTATTAAGCTTTTAGAAATATTATTAATTAAGAGATCACGTTCAACAACTTCCAAGAGTGTTCTCTTAGGCCTTCCTCTACCTCTCTTAATCGGACTCAAAGTTATATGTTCCACTCTTCTCACTGGTGCCTCCCTTGGTCTTCTTTGTACATGCCCAAACCATCTCAACCGATTTTCTACCATTTTTTCCTCAATAGGTGCCACCCTCACTTTTTCACGTATGTGCTCATTTCGAATTTTATCTTTACGTGTATGTCCGCACATCCATCGTAACATTCTCATCTTGCTACTCCAACTTTATGCTCTTGCTGTCCCGTTAGAGCCCAGCATTCACTACTATATAACATTGCCGGTCTGATAGCAGTACGATAAAACTTTCCTTTAAGTTTATTAGGCACCTTACGGTCACAAATAACTCCTTTAGCTTTTCTCCAATTAAACCACCCAGCTTGAATTCTATGTGAAATATCTCCACTGATTTCGCCATCTTTGAATAATGGCTCCCAAATATCTAAACTTTTCCACTTGAGGTATAATTTGATCTCCCAATTTCACTTCCAAATTATTTCGAATAGTCCTTTACCAAATTTACAATATAAATATTCCGTCTTACTTCTACTCAGACGAAAACCTTTCGACTCCAATGTCCTCCTCCATAACTCAAGTTTGCAATTAACCTCTTCTCTTGTCTCTGCTATAAGAACTATATCATCCGCGAAGAGCATACATTTCGGGATTTCCTCTTGAATATGTTCCGTCAAAACATTTAAAAATCAAGTTGAACAAATAAGGACTCAGAGATGATCCCTGATGTAGTCCAATCTTTATAGGAAAATCCTTTGTTTGACCACTAGGCGTTCTTATACTAGTTTTTACCCCCTCATACATATCTTGTATGGCTTTAATATAAGCAATCCGTACTCCCTTTTTTTTCCAACGCTTTCCAAAGCACTTCTCTTGGTATACGGTCATAAGCTTTTTCCAAATCAATAAAAACCATGTGTAGATCTTTATCTTTACAACGATACTTTTCCATTAATCCCCTTAGTAGATAAATCGCCTCTGTAGTTGATCTACCTGGCATAAAACCAAATTGATTCTCAGAAATACTTGTCTCCAATCTCAACCTGTGCTCAATTACTTTCTCCCACAATTTCATTGTGTGGCTCATGAGTTTAATCCCTCTATAGTTAGTACAATTCTGAATATCTCCTTTATTTTATAAATAGGAATTAATGTACTTCTCCTCCACTCATCAGGCATTTTCTTGGACCGTAAAATCACATTAAATAACTTAGTTAACCATCTCACCCTTCTTCACCTAAACATTTCCACGCTTCGATAGATATACAATCAGGTCCGTTAGCTCTACCATTTGCCATTTTCTTAAGAGCTTCCTTTACCTCCTTATCACGTATTTTTCGATAGAATGACAAATTTTGTTCTCCTTCACCAGTTACTAAATCCTCCAAGTTACTAGATGAATCCTCTCCATCATTGAAAAGTTTAGAAAAATAAGTCTCCCATCTATTTTTAATTTCATCATCTGTAACTAAAATTCTTCCCTCTTCATCCTTAATACACCTTACCTGTTCTAGATCTCTTGATTTTCTTTCCCTACTCTTGGCAATCTTATAAATATTTTGCTCTCCTTCCTTCGTCTCAAGGTTCTTATAAAATTCTTCAAAAGCTTTAGAACGAGCTTCACCCACAGCTCTCTTAGTTTCCTTCTTAGCCATACGGTACCTCTCCCAATTTTCCTCATTGTTACACAAATGTATGGCTTTAAAACAGTTCTTCTTATACTTGATTTTGTCCTGTACACTATTATTCCACCACCAAGACTCCTTATCTCTCGGACCAGAACCTTTCGATTCTCCCAAAACTACTTTTGCAACCTCCCGTATCTTTTTAGCCATATCCTCCCATATGATGTTAGCACTTCCCTGAGAATCCCAAATTCCTTTATCCAAAAGATTTCGCTTGAAAATATCTTGCTTCTCACCTTTTAATTGCCACCACCTAATTTGGTGTTACTACTTGTCGACGTTTTTGGATTTTACTCATAATACACACATCAAGGACTAGGACCCTATGTTGTGTCGTTTACAGCATCTCCAGGGATCACCTTACAATTTTTACAAAGTTTTCTATCTGTGTTCCTAACCAAAAGAAAATCAATCTGCGACCTTGAGGCTCCACTTTTGTAAGTGATGAGATGCTCATCTCTCTTCTTGAAACAAGTGTTGGCAATCTTAAAATCATACGCCAATGAGAAATCAAGAAGAGTTTGCCCTTCATTGTTTAGCTCTCCAAAACCAAAACCACCATGCACCC